TTCTGAGGTTCTTCCACTGTGTAGCATGTACTAATATTTCACCCCTGTTTATTGCTGAGAAGCATTCTATATGCACATACACCAGAGCTTATCAATTCAGCAATTGATGGACATTGGCTTGTTTCCATTTTTTGACTTCTAGGAATAATGCTGCTTGGAACACTTACATACAGGTCTTTCAACAGGCATATGTTTTCATTTCTCTTGGACAGACACCTAGGAGTGGATCTACTCAGTTGGTAACTGAATTTATGTTTAAAAAACTGCCACTGATTACATGGGCTACTCCATGTAACCATGTGAGGGTTCCCAATGATCCCCATGCTAGTCAATATCTGCTGTGACCTGGGTTTTTAAAAATTTTTTTTATTTTTTAGCTTTAGGTGGACACAATATCTTTATTTTATTTTTATTTGGTGCTGAGGATCGAACCCAGTGCCTCATGCATGCGCACTACTACTTGAGCCAATCCCCAGCCTCTGTGACCTGGTTTTTTAAAAAGTACTATAGTCAATCTAGTGGGCATAAAAATGATACTTACTTTTTGTGTTTCCCTGACGTTCAATGAGTTTGAGACTCTTTTCATTGATTTATTAGTTATTTAAATATCTTTTTGAAGCACCCATTCAAGCTTTTTGCCTAATTTTCAACCAAGTTATTTTTCATATTGTTTTATAGTTGATGTTATAATCTAAACAAAAATTTTTTATGGTATACATCTTGAAAAATATCTTCTCCCAGTCTTTAGTTTGCCTTGCCTCTTACCAGTGTCCTCTGATGCACAGAAATTCTTTAGTGTCCAAGGTGCACTGTTTTCTGAATAATGGACAATACTGTGAGTAGTGGACTCAGGTGCTCAGTGCACCTCCATCCTGCTTAAGAAGTGTTCACCACCCAGACCGTGAAAATAGTCTCCTGGCTGCTTCTTGTGTCTTCATTTTTGTCTATGGCCACTTTGAATAGACAAATCTTTGAGGATGAATGACACGGGCATCAATATTCTTTTCTTCTTTCCTTACAGATCATCCTGTTTCAATACTGTTTATTGGAAGATCATCCTTTCCCTACTGAACTCCTACATCAAGTGACCACTAATGAATAGGTCTATTCTGGATCCTTCTGTTCCTTTGGCCTGTCCATCCTTCTACCTGTGTTGATTGCTACAGCTTTGGAGTAAGCTTTGCTGTAGGTCTTATGAGACCTCAAATTTTTTCCTCTTCACGACCGTGATTCCAGGTCCTTTCGGTTGTTATATCATTGAGAATGTGTTGTCAATGTCTACCAAAAAAACTCTGCAAGGATTTTGGAACCCACTGAATTGAACCTACAAATCAACTGTGGAGAACTGATATCTACATTAAGTATTCTAATAAATAAAAATGGTATCTCCATTTATTTAAGTCTCCTTTAATTTTTCTCAGCAATGTTGTATTTTCAGGATAGAAATCTGATATAATTCTCAATAGATTAATTCCTAGGTATTTAATTTTTTTGGTGCTCTATTTTAAATGCTACTTTTTAATTTTCCACTTGTTCATTGCTGGTATATAGAAACAAAATTTATTTTAGTGTATTGACCTTGTATCTGCAGACTTTGATAAATTCACTTATTAATACTAGCAGTCTGTATTTTCCTATGATGATCTCTATGTGTCCCACCATGACAATGTGGACATGTCGCTGCCAACATGATGGTCCTAAGAGGAGGGGCTTTCAGGAAGTGATGAGACTGATGACTTCACACAAGAGGTGTGAGGGAGCTGCCTGCCCCTTTTGCCCTGCAGTCCCTTCTGCTGTGTGAGGACACAGCATTCAAGGCACCATCTTGGGAGCAGGGCTGCTGGACCCTCTTCAGACACAGGACCTGCTGATATCTCGATCCAGGACTTCTCAACCTCTAGAACTGTGAGAAATATGTGATTTTCATTCATTAATTACCCAGACTCTGGTATTTTGTTATACCAGCAGGAATAGACCAAGGCAGGTCTCCTGGGTTTTCTATAACACAAAGCATCAAAAACTCAAATGATGAGTTTTCCCTTTTTTCGATCTTTAAAACTTTTATTTCTTTTGTGGTTTTTGCATTTGACATCCTAGCTGGTACGATGTTGAACAGAACATTGATGATAATGGTCATTCTGTTTTGGCCTTGAATATGGGTGGAAAATGCTAAATATTTCATAATTATGTAGGTTATTAGTAAGTTTTCAGTAGAACAATTCATTAGGATAGAGAAACTCCATTCTACTCCTGATCTGCTAAGAGTTTATACCATGAAGCCGAATTTTGTAAAATGCTTTTTCTAGCCTATTAAAGTGCCTACTTATAAATTAGTGACTTAATTTATATGGGTCTTTCCATCCTTGATTATATTACTTAGTGAATTATATTCATTGATTTTAGAATAAGCCAATTTTTATATTCCCAGAATAAACTCAACTTGATCATGATTTACTAGCCTTTCTAATACTGCTAGACTTAATTTGTTGACATCTTATTATTATTATTATTACATGTTTGTAAGAGATAACCCAAGATGTTTTCATTTCTTGTACTGTCGTTAGATCTTTTTGTGGTGGAGGGGTACCAGGGATTGAACTCAGGGCACTCAACCACTGGGCCCACGTTCCTAGTCCTAATTTATATTTTACTTAGAAACAGGGTCTCACTCATTGCTCAGTACCTTGCTATTGCTGAGGCTGGCTTTGAACTTGCGATTCTTCTGTCTCGGCCTCTCGAGCTGCTAGAATTACAGGCATGCACCTCCGCCCCCGGTTGTCATTAGTTTTGAAATCATGCTGGCTTTGTAAGAGAGGTGGAGTCTGTTACTGTCTATTTTCAGGAAGACTACATCCTATGGAATTCATTTTATTTCTTCCTTAAATACTTGGACAATTTTGCCTGTGAGGCCACCGGAGTCTGGGCTTTCTGTGGATGAACAGACTGTAAATTAGTGACTTAATTTCCTTAACAGGTCTAGGACTACTCAGGTGCTCTGCCTGCCCTGTCCTGAGTCTTGGGGAAGTTGTGCCTGCTTGCAGATGTGCCATCCATCCGCAGCGAGATCTTGGTGTACTCTCATGGTGTTTCAGGGTCTGCAAGAGCAGTAGTGTTCATCTTCACCTTTTTTATACTGGCAAATTATGGTCACGTCTTCCTTTCGCCAGTATTGCTATGGGTTTATCAATTTATAAATTTTAATTAACTTACAAATTTTAAGCCTTTATTGATTTTGTTGCAGTGATTCTTGCTCTCTGATTTCCTTCATCATGCTTTCTGGGAGTTTTATTGGCTGTTCTTTCAATTTCTTCTTAAGACAGAAGCTTAGATGTTTGGTTTCCAGCATTTCTTCTTTTTTTATCTAAAACATGTTTTCTTCTCTGGGCTGACTTAAAGGCAACCTACAAATTTTGAAATGCAGACCATTTTGATTAAAGTGGACCATATTCCCTTGAAAAGAACCATGCTCAACAGTTGGTTGCAATGTGGTTTTATGTCAGTTTGGTTCACGTTGGTTAATCATGCTACTTAAATCCCACACATCATCATTCATTTTCTCATCTTCATGTTCCATGGCTTGCTGACAGAAATCTGTTAATCTCCAGCTAAACTGTGGATTTGTCCATTTTGCCTTTTAGGTTTGCCACGTTTTTCTTTTATACTTTTTGAAGTTTTCTTAATTGACCCTTAATGACTAAGAACTGTCCCTGCCTAGCAGCCTTTGAAGAGCAGCAGCTGTGGCTCCACACCACCTCATAGCCATGGTCTCAACAGGTCATAAGGTGACCAAGAACATAAGCAAGCGGAGGGCCTCAGTTTTGTATAGGACATGATCTAAGGTGTGTGGCTCTGCTCAAGGTCTCCAGAACAAATGGACCCTCAAGTTCACCAAGAAAAGGGAGTCAGCACATTCATGCCAAGGAGGTGAGAAGAAATGGGCAATATCCTGGCTCGGGAAGAAAGCATGATGACCTTGCCAAAACAGAGAGAGGTGCTGTCTTTGAGGATCGTTAAGTTCCCTTTTGCCCTGAAGTCTCTGGCCTCAACACAGTCTGAGTGGCTCTATCTTGGTCAGCGTCTGCATGGTATGTAGGTCCCCTCCTCTGATGCTCCACCTACCCTGAATCTTCCTGAAGATGCAACCTTGCAAACACTGTCCTTTGTCCAGTTGGAGAACCCCACTTACTTAGCTCTTCAGCCTCTTGCACCCCACAGGGTCAGTCAAGTGTGTTGCGGGGCAGGCTGGCCATGCCTGCCTCAGGGCCCCTCCCTCACCATGCTCTGTCTCCCATGTCAACAAAGCTTATCTACTACCTCTTGGCTCACTGGATTCTCACAACACCTCAGAACTCAAGAGAATATTCAATGGAGCAAACTGGCCTGGTCAGAGGGCTCCTCTGGTTTCCACTTTCATGCCAACCCTGAGAGGTGGAAAAAGTCCTAGTCATCTCAGTCCCCAGCAGAATCTCTGCTTGAGACAAGACCCTCCTCCTCCCCCAGATTGCCCTGAGGAAGGCTGCAGGGACTTTCAGTTCACCCCAGAAAGGCTCTTTCTTCTAGACCTCATAGCTTCGCAGTTTCCCTGATTTCTTTAAAAATCTGATTATTTGCAACAGGTTTTTCCCAAGCTACTGCAACAGCTAGCTGGCAGGCAGACTCACCTGGGCAACCGGAGGTGTGGCCAGCTGATAGTTAATTAAAGTAAATTAGACAAACGCCTGTGCCTTCACACACATCAGCGACAACACTTTCTTACCATAGCCCTACCCTATCTGTAAGCCTTAACCTCCAGATGAGGACACCAGCTGGGGGGGGGGGGGGGTTGATGACCGTCCAAGGACCACACCCAATGAGGAGACCTGCACCCCAAAGCCTCCTTACTAGCCTGGGTTGGTGGGGACTTGGCTGCAACCCCAGACCCTTAAACAAAGTCAGAGTGTTGTGGGTCCTCCAAAGCCCTCCGGAAGCTGTGAGTGGGCGTAGGGTGCAGGGCGACGTACCAGCCTGCGGATGTCCCGCTCGCACTCGCGCTTGATGCGGTGCACCTCCTCCTGGTGTGCCTGGTAGGCAGCGCGCAGGTCTGCCGCCTTGGTCTTGTCGGCCTGCATGCAGTTGCTGAGGGCCTCCTCCGCCTGCTTGCGCGCCGCCTTGAGCTCCAGGATCTCCTGCTGCAGCCGCTGACGCTCGCTGTCGAAGGCTCTGCGCGCCTCCTCCCGAGCCTCAGCCAGCAGCGCGGTCTTGACCTTGTCAGCCGCGCCGTCGCGCAGCACGTTCAGCGTGGCCTGCAGCCGCTGCAGCTCGCCCTCCTTGATCTTGGCCGTGCGGGCCGCCTCCTGCTCGTGCTGCCGGATGAGCACCTCGCGCAGCGCCTGCAGCTCCTTGGTCTTCTCCTCGTGCAGCTTGGCCTTGAGCTCCGAGATGTAAGCCGTGTGCCGCCGCTGCTCCTGCTCGCGCTCCAGCTTGGCCTCCTGCAGCCGCTCGCGCAGCTTGCCCACCTGCAGCCAGAACATGAGAGTCGGCAAGGACACGGGCAGGGGAGCCGGTGGTGCCCGGCCACAGCCTCCCACGCCCCTGAGACCCTCCCAAGTGCCCACCTCCGATGCCCCCTGGGCCACTCAACCGTGCTAACTCTTCCCCTCAGCCCCACCGGGATCTGTCCTACTAGGTGACTTCTGAGATTTTCCTTGGAGGGGAAACCGCCTGAGGATGTTGGAAAGGGGGCCAAGCATGGAGACCCCTTCATCCTGGAACTCATGAGGAAGGACACGCCAGCTCTCACCAGGCTGAGCAGATTCCAAACCAGAAAACCATTCCCATGGCCCCTGTGAGAGGCTCCGACCCAAAGAAGAGAGGGCAGAGGTGGCAGGGAGGGAAGGGGGAGGCCAGGCTCCTAGGGAGGTGCGCTCTGGCTGGGGCCTCTCCAGGGCACCCTTGCCTCAGGGGCCTGGACTCCTGAATTGCTGGCTACAAGCCCCTTCTGAATCTAACCCTCCAATCAGCCATTTGAAACCCTATTTGTAAAATGTGCCCAGGGAGTGTTAAGAAAACCCTCATTGGTGCTTTTCATTTAAATACTCTGGTTCCACAGAACCCTTTATTAAAACTCCATTCCAGGTAAGGGCAGGCTTGGGGCACTGCAACCAGCTGCCTCTGATGAATGGGCTGCTCCACAGAAAATGGCAGCATTTCCCCCACACCACACCTGGTCTATAGCACGCCGTGGTAAAGTTAATTATAAGTGAGTTTGACAATGTCATCTGGGTATCAATAAACCCTTTCTTATAACAGCAGGAAAAGAAGCACATGAAACCCCCCAGGCAAACCCAAGACCCACGTCTCCTTCCATCAAACACACGAGGCAACCAGTGGCTCCCTGACCCGCTCACGTGAGCGCTGGAACCAGTCCTCCTGATGGACTCAGTGCTGGGGCCAAGACATTAAATATTTCCCTGGTCATGGACAAAATGCTTCTGGCATTTTTCTTTCTAGAAGACCACATACATGGTCCTCACCTCCCTGAATAGTGTTGACAGTGCTCTGGGATCAGAAGAATAATACCCCTTTAGATCTGGATCTACTATGATGAGCTATTTCCCTGAGCAGATTACTTAACCTCTGTGATGGTCAACTTTCTGTGTCAACCTGACTGGGCCATAGCACCAACAGTCATTTGGTCAATTATCACCCTAGATGATGTTGTGAAGGTATTTTTTGATGAGATTAACATTTACACTAGTAGGCTCTGAGTAAAGCAAATGGCCCTTAACTGCAGATGGGCCACATCCAATCAGTTAAAGATCTTGGGAGAAAAGACTGATGATTCCTCTGGAAAAAGGAATTCTGCCTCCAGACAGTTTCAGACTCCCTGGACTGCAACATCAGCCCTGTTGGAGATTCTAGCCTACTAGCCCGCCTACACACTTCAGATTTGCCAGCCGCCACTGCAAAAGACAATGCTTTAAAAACATCTCTCTCATTCTGTATATTATGTGTCTACCTGTGTATACATGCATATGCTTCTTTATTTAGAGTAACAGAACACGTGTGTGTATGTGTGTTCTAGTCTCTGAAGAACCATGACTACACAACCTCCCAGAACCTTGGCTTCCTGTCTGTGAAGAGCAACATCAGCAGCTGCCTCAGAGGATGCTGAAAGGAGGGACGTGGAGAATCACTGGGGGATACATGAGCATTGTCATTGTGCTCCAGAGTTTGCACATCAGGTGTGAGCAAGCCCTGGGGTGAGTCTCAGGTAGAGAGGGTGTGATTTGGAAGGCCTACAGTAATGAGGATGTGTGACTCCATCCTGCCCTCTGCACCTGCAATACCTGGCTCAGCTCAGCTGGCACCTCCTGCTCCTGCCCAGGCAGAAACCCTCCCAGGCTGCCCCACCACACCTGTGCAAAGAGCAGGATGGAGTCACACACCTTCATTACTGCAGGCCTTCCAGATCACACAGGGTGCAGGCTCACTCTTCTGGAACTACGATGTGTATGTGTGCAGAACAACTAAGAGAGTGGATGGAGAATGGGGGAAGCCGGCTTCTCACTGTTGGGAGTAGGGGGCTCCAGACAAGAAAGAAGGGGCTGGAATGATGCACATGGCCGTGAGCTAGTGTTGGGACATCAGCAAGAACTCAGGTTTAAGTTCATGCAGTCACAGGTGCCACATGCAGAAGCATTTACAGATAACGTGTATGTACACGTAGCATACCTCTCCTAGCTCTTGGCTGAGAGGGTCTAGAAGAGGGGCACTCCCTTGCCTGCGAGCACACCAGTGCCCAGATCCTGCTGTCTAACACCATTCTCCCATAATTGGAGCCAGGGCTCCCGGGAGAAATGGCAGATTCCAGGATGGGGGCGGGAAGTATGCATGATGAACACCATAAAATAAGAGCTAAAAACACAAACAAAATCAACACAAAACCTCCACAATGATGGGGGTATCACAGGTACATAGGCACCACAGCCTGAGCCACAGAGCAAAGATGCTGTTGGTTTATATCCAGAATGCAGCCCACGTATCCATGAGTCCAGACTGACACACTAAAATGACTAAATGTACAAGAAAAATGTAAAATAGAATAAGCAAAAAGAAAAAAAAAGAGAAAGAAATCCTCAGGAGGTCCATAGTACTTAAAACTCAAGCCTAAGTCCTCCCCAGCCCACAGGACTGAGCCTTGTGCTCCTCTGATCCATCTCCTACCCTGGCGGTAATCATCCGGCTCCGGCCACACCACTGCCTGCTGCAGCCTGGACTCCTTGAGATACGCCTTTGGCATGCCTCTGTCTGTTCTTCCAGCCCACCCACCACACTTAGTGGCACCTCCCCTGAACCCTTTGCTGACGACACCTTCCAACAGGCCACTCCAGAACCCACTGCTGTCCACCCCTGCTCCTGCTGCTGTTTCTTCTGGGTATGTCCCACTACTCAGTTAAAAATACAAGAATCTCCTGGTGTTTGTTCCCTGCGCAAGCCCCAGGAGAGGACCCGGAGTCACTGCATTGCTGCTTCTCAGACAAAGATAGGTACACAGCCGGTACTTGATAACTAGTTCAGGACTGAGCTAAGGAAAAAGTGGAAGTGTGAACCACTGGTAGAGGTCACAAATAACAACAGCCTCCCTTACAGCCTCCACAACAGCAACCAGGAGTTGTGGGCTCCCGCCCCAGATGTGCCCCAGTTTCCTTCAAGCTGGCCCCTCATCTGGGGACCTCCCCTCACCTTCCCTCCAAACTCAGCAGGGCAGGAAGGCTTCCTCAGTCCCAGGGTCAGCACCTCCCTGGGCTCCAGTGCCCAACACAATCTACTCCATCACTACTCAGGATATACCCAAATACCAAGCCTTCCCCCCACCACCACAGAAGCCAGCAGCCTTTGAGGACAGGCTGAGATCCAACTCACTTCTCACTTCAGATAAGTGCCTAGCCCAGCACAAATCCAGACCAAAGTGTGCTGGTCACGGTGAGAATGAAGAAATGCCCAGCTGGTGAGGGGCTGTGGTCTGGCACACTTGACCCTCTCTTCACATCACCCCAGATGGTGGGCCTCTCTAGGTCAGGAACACTGCCCCACTGGCCTGGTCCTCGACTGGCACTCAGAAGGCTCGCGGGTGTTGCTGGACACTCGGAACTGCGTGAACACCTTTCGCTTCCGCCTCCAAAATGGCCACTGTGAAGCCTCCACAGGCCCTTTCACTCCGCAGGTTTCCTAAGAACTCTGATGCAGCGTGCCCGTGCTGTGCTGCCACTGGCTCCCCGGAATCCTGCACCACCCTAACTGAGGGCACGGGCTGTTCCGCAGTCACTGCCAAAGGCATGTCACCCAGCCCGGGCACACAGCATGCACGCAAGGCCAAAGATGAACAGATACAGTTACCATACTCCCTTGCCCTGCAGTGTTTAATGGGTCCTTTGTTAAAATAATGACACTATAAATGTAACACCAAGTTATTATTAGATCATACAAAAATAACACTTAAATGTAATTGTAAAATTTACAGTTATGCTTTTGGAAACAGCCAGAGAGAGCACACTGCCAAATTCTTTCCGAACAGATATTCTCCAATATCTGACCGGATGGGTAAAGTCCTACAGAGGAGGCCACAAGGGGGCTGGATGGAGAACTTCAGCAGGCAAGATGCGTTCATGTGAGAATTTCCTCGTGTCCCAGAGGGAGGGGGGCAGCCTGGTGACAGGGGACTCCCACAGGTCTGGCCTTCACCTACCAGCACCACCTATAGCTGTGCTGACCCGGCAGAGGGGCTGAATTGCACCCCACCCCGTCCTGACACTCAGAACTTTAGGTGACTATATTGGACACAGAGCCTTTAAAGATGTAATCAAATTAAAATGAGGCCATCAGGATGGCCTCTAATCCACTCCAACTTGTGTTCTCATAAGAAAAGGAGATAAGGACACCAACACGCAGAAGAAAACCATGTGGGTCCACAGGAAGACGAAGACAGCACAGCCAAGGAGAAGGGTCTCAGGAGGGGTCAGCCCAGGACACCTGACCTCAGACTTCCAGCCTGCTGTGGTGACACCATAAGTCCCTGTTTATTTAAGCAGCCCAGTGTGGCACCTTGTCCCTGCTGGCTGGCAAGGTAGACTCAGGCAATATACCTGAGCATGTCACCTCTCCTTCTGAGCCCTAACTTTCTCACCTACAGAGACAGGAAGCCACACCTGACCATACAGGTCACTGTGAGGCCATGACACCTCTCAGGTACAGGATGCTGTCTACATGGCAGGCCCAGATGTTAGAAACAGGCTGCCAAGTGAGAGCAGGTGACGGACAACCTCAGGCCTTATACTGACTGTCATACTCTTCCTCAAATGGCCCAGGAAAGCAGACACATTAGAAGCCCTCCATTTTACAGATGGGAAAACTGAGGCAGGGGCAGTTACATGGCTTCATGGTTAGGCAGCAGACTTGGATGTGCAGTTTTCCCCACAGCTGCTGCTGCTGCTTCTGTACACACAGACCAGCCCCCTGCAGCCTGGGCACTCAGCTCTCAGCCCTAGAGGATCCCAGCAGGTGAACCCCTCCTGACTGGCAGGGTGTGCACAGGTCAGCACCACCAGCAAACACAGCCGGAAGGGGCTACTTCACCAGGTCCGATCTCTTGAACACCCAGGAGTAAGGAGGTCTGCATCTGTCCCTACACTCCCGAAGCCAGGCCTTCCTCGCTCCCTCTCCAAGTTGACCCAAGTCTCTGCTCTCTATGCAGCCATCCTGACCTGGGAATGGAGTCAGGGCCAAGGCCAGGAGTGGCCCCCACCCCTACACTCAGCAGCTGCCTGGGCCCCAGTGCTTCTTAACACAGGCACCAACTGCAGTTCCCAGGCAGCCACCCGCTGTGCTCCAGGGACTTTGGCAGGGATTTGGTTTAACCTTCCAAAGGCCAGACCCTCAACATCTCAAGCCACCCAGGTACAGGCCCAGTTGTCCACCCTTTCCTGTGCTCACAGAGCCCCTGGCTGGATCTGCCCTCAGATCACCCAAGTCAGAGCCATGCCAACAAAAATGACCAGGGCAGTGCCTGGGCAACAGACACTGACAGGGCTTTTTATCACACCTGGGATCTTTATGACAACCTTGAACTGGGCAGTAATTGTCATGCCGTGTGCAAGCTGAGGATGCAGAGGTTTGGAGACCTTAGGTCACTTGCCCAAGACTGTGAAGCCAGGCAGGGGCCAAGCTGAGGGTGGAGCCAGGTCTGTGGGATTGGAAAGCTGGGCTCCTCCCTCGTGGGAGGTACAGGCCACACATAATGGCTCTGCTCTAGCTGTACTCCCACAGTCTACCATCATCCAGCCAGCCACTGTCCTGAGTGGCTCCAAGGCTCAGACCTGCCCTGAGAGCACAAAACAGCTCGTGGTATGGAGCAGGCCCCTTCCAAGTTCTTCACGTGGTACTAAGTCCTGACAGCAACCCACTGAAGCACTATCATCACCCTGTTTTGCAGGGAAACTGAAACATGGGAAGTCACACAGCCTGACAGTTCCCATCTGGCACTCTATGTGGCTCTGAGGGGTAAGTTGAGGCCCAGAGAGAAAGAGGGACCCAGGGGAGGGGCCCATCCTGCTCCAGCCTGCGAACATGCCCTCCCCACATGTCCCTGGCAACATCATCCTCTGAGTGTCACCACCCAGCCCTCTCACCTTGCTCTTTTCCTGCTGGAACTCAATCTGAATGTTGGTCAGTTTGGCCCGCAGCTCCTCATTGGCCATCTGTACTGCATCCGTCTCCATCTCGGGCTTCTCGCCCTTGCTCCGGCCTTTTTTAGACATGCTTCCTCTTGGGTTGAAACTCTGAGATCCTAAGCTTCACGCCCGCCCACCTGCAGGCACAGAGACCACCGCCCCCGTGCTAGCCAGTCGAGCAGCGTTCAATTCATCCTCCATGTAAACCACCATCACTTGGGATCCTAGGGGAAGGAGGGAAAGCGAGTTAGCAAATGAGATGGGACTGGCATCCCCTGACAGCTACCACCTGTGGGCACAGCACCTATCCCCACTGGAGGATGTCCTCCACTCACAGGTCTGACCCAGTGCTCCTCACATGAACTGCTCCACAATCACTTGGAAGCTGTTAAGGGCAGAGTTCAATATCCCTGATAATCCAACTTGAATCTCTAGCAAGCTCCCCAGGTGGTGTTTCCGGGTGACCACGTCTTGCATAACTTCACTCCAGCATAGCCCTCATCAGGACAAAAGGACCCCATCTTCACAACCTGTAGATCTTGGTCTCAGACCTCAGTGAACATGCATCACCAGAGTATTTATTTCCAAATGCAGGTCCCAGGCCACCTCAGAACTTGAAGCACAGGGAGTGGGAGGGTCTATGGAGTCTGCATATCCCGTCCACACTCCCAATACTCGTGAAGCAGGGTCAGAGGACCAAACTTTGAGAAATGGGTTTAGACCTCGTAAGGTTAGTGGTTTCTCCTCTACGAGATAGAGGGTATCACCAGTATCACAGACAGGAAAACTGAGGCACACACTGGCTGAGAGCTAGCCATGTCACACAGCTAATGAGAGAGAGAATAGTAGTACCCTGATCAAGGTCCACAGCTGGAACTGGGGGAGCAAAAGCTGTACCCTGACTCCCACCTCCAAATTCTGCACTAATGTGGCCACACTGCTGGCCTCAGTAGTGCACCACAGTGCCACTTTCCCTCTCCCTCTCTGTGCCCTGCTGTGATTTCCATGATAAAATGTATGTTTACTTACTTTCTATTTTCCCTAGGATGTAAGTTCCAAGTACATAATACCTGGGTCTGTTTTGTTCCTTGCTGCCTCTTCTGTGCACGTAAAAGGATCTCCATAAAAACTTGTGGAATGAGTGAATAAATGGCTCAGTGACAACAGGGAACAATCATGAGGCACTGAGTGTGTGCCAGATCCCAAGACAGGAGTCAGGGATCCTGTCCTGAAGTCCTTGGAACCCCTGATGAAGTAGGTTAGTTATTAGGTCCTTACAGATGAGGACATGAAAGCAGAGAAGTAAAGTAAGCTACGTTCGGCCACACAGCTAGAGGGTGGTGGTGCTGGGTCAGATGGCCTGGAGAAGGCAGGGAAGATCAAGCAAGAAGATTGTAAACAGAGAAGAAGAGCCAGGGAAGCTAACAGGAAGCTCCTCTGGCCAGAAACTGGCCACTGCATTCAGCAACAATGGAGTCAGTGGGACTTCAGTTTGTGGGTGGGGGCTGGGGAGAGGGGCATAAAGCACGGGACATGGCTTCCAGGAGGAGGTGGGCTGAGGCCTCATCAATGCCAGTGCATTGGGCAAGCTGCAGATGCCCAATGCTGCAGGCCACAGCCCCTGATGCAGCACAGCCTAAGCAGGCAGCCCTGGGCACAGGGAGCCATGCAGACTAGGGAGCCTGGAAGGCTATGACGGAGGCCACCTGAAGTGAAGGCAGCTTCTCTCCAACAGGGACACTGCTTCTCAGTGCCCAGCAGGATCACCCAGGAGTCACCAGCATCCCCATCCCTCACTCCAGAAGGAGGCATTCTGTCTTCAATAAGCATGACCTCCATCAGCTTTGAGTGCGCTATAATTGGAGCTTACTCCACAGTTCATTCCTTGGCCCCCCTGACCCGCCTGCCTTCATAACCACAGCAGCTCTCAGAAACCAGCTTCTGCTGCTCAGGTGCACCTGCCACCCTTGCCATGATGAGCAGGAAGAACTCAACAGAGCAAGCGGCACCTTTTTATTCCACCCTGGAACATGCTCAAGGAACTGACTCGAGATAGTCTGACATGACGTCTGGCCATCCATCCCAAAAGCACAATGCTCAGTTCCCAAGAGTCAGTAAGTTACATCAAAGACCTGATAGCAAACTCCAGACATTAATCTAGGGAAAGGTTAATGTCACAAGACCGAAAAGGGCAGGATACAAAGCAGAATATAATTTATGATTCCAATTTTCTATGATATATATATTGGTTCATTCTTTTTATTTGGTTACAAATATTTACTGAGCACCTGCAAGGTGCCAGGCCCTACCCCCAGGGATACAGTGGTGGCCACTCGATGGCCACATCTCCAAAAGGTTATAGGTGATATTTGTTTTCTTCTTTATACTCTTCTAGATAAATCCAAATTTCTATTTCTACTACTTTCAAAAGAAAGCAACGTAGTTTTTCTTTTAAAGGAAGATATTGTGATTTGGATATGAAGGGTCCCCCAAAAGTCCCTGTGCTAATGCAGGAATGTCTGAAAGGGAAGTGAGTGGATTGTGAGAACTGTAACCTAGTCAGAGGATTAATCTATTTGATGGATTAATAATTGGAATGGACTATCTGGGTGGTAAGTGTAGACAGGTGGAGTGGGGCTGGAGGAAGCCGGTGACTAGGGCGTGCCCTTGGGGACTGTATCTTGTCCTTGGCTCCTCCTTGCTCTCTATGCTTCCCCCTGCCACGAGCTGAGCAGTTGTTCACCACACACCCTTCCACCACGATGTTCTGCTTCAGCAGTGGAGTCAGCTCACCACAGACTAAACCTCTAAAACCATGAACCAAAATAAACCTTTCCTCCCCTAAGTTGTTCTTGTCAGGTATTTTGGTCACAGCAATGAAAAGCTAGCTCAGAAGGCAGGAAAACACCTGCACTTAGTTGAGAAGGACACAAGAAAAGCACTGGGGAGAAAGCAGTTGGGCTGCGTGCCCGCGGCAGTGCCGCTGACAGACCAAGTGAAGCTGCTCAGCTCCACAGGCCACCAGACATGGCTTCAAGTCCCAGGGCCTGACTATCTCAGGGTGGCTTGGAAGGAAAAGGGGGGGAAAGCAGCAGAAAGGCCACTCTATGCCTGCTGTCCCCACACAACTGTCAGCCATGGGAGGGCAGGACTTGACCTTTATCTTGGTATGCCCACCTTTGCCCAGCCCAAAGTCCCAGCTCAATGTTCCCAGGACAAATAAACTCGCAGGAGCTGCCACTAAGACTAGAGCTCTCAACAGCATGTCCTCCATATATGCCAGCACAGGACTCAGTGCTGAAATGAAACGGAGCAGGAGCCGAGGCCGTCCAAAATTCTGGGCCACGCTGAGCCCCAGGCCACCAGCCCAAGCCACAGGCATACCATGGCACAACCAGTACCACTCGACATCCCTATCATCAGCCCCAAAGCCGCTGAGCATTCAAAGTCCTTGCCTGCAGGAGAACACAGGCTGTCCTTCTTCCTGGGCTGCACACCATGCCATGACCTGAACCGAGAGCACATGGCCCACTGCTGGCAATGAGCCCACCAGAGGCTCAGCAAGGCACAGTGGAGAGGAACTGCTCAAGGACACAGGAGGAAGAGTCATAGCCAAGAAGAGTCACTCCACAGGAGACACTGAGCACCTAGCCCTCATGCTGGCCTGGGGATGCCACAGAAGACTAGAGTAGGTCCCAGCTGTCACAGAACTCCCAGTCGGGCCACACAGGCCACCTCCCGCCTCTACACCCCCATACTCATCAGTGGTCATCCATCCCCTCTCCAAAGTCCCTCCAGTGACTCTGGAAACCCCTTCACACTCCCCTCAGGCAGCCACACTTCAGAAAGCACTGACCAATCTCAAGCTAAAAGGAAACCCAGCACAAAAGGGCCCCTCAGAACTTCTGCCCTGAGCTCCTTCGGGTACTCAGAAGCCCCCAGAATGAGTTCTCTCCTTCCCACACAGAGGTGCCCTTTAGAGACTCCAGCCACAACTCCTCCCCAACACACACACACACACACACACACACACACACACACCCCTCTCTTTGGGAAACAAGGCATAAACAGTGAACATCTGATGAGAACATAATACTTATCAGGCACATGACAACCCCTTCAGAGGATGATCTCATTCAATCCTCAGGACATCCTCCTCTGAGGTGGCATGTTCACCTTAAAGGTGAACAAACTGAGGTGGTCAGTGATTGACCATGACCATACAGAAAAGTGTCAGGCTGTGGAGTCAGACAGATGCAGTCACCTGTAATCTGTGTAAGGGCTCTGACTTCTCTGCGCCTCAGTCGCCTCATCTGAGGAACGGAAGGGCCTCTTTCGCTGTGGCACAGTGCCCAGGCCATCGGTGTTCCACAAGCAGTGACTCCCCAGGGCAACAGGGCAAGGTTTTCCAAGTGTGTGGAGCTGGCGGACCAAGACTGCATGCAGCCATGGAGCTCAGAGGGGACAAGGAGGACAGAGGGAGGCAAAGGGAATCTTCACTGGCTGGTGTCCTAGCTATGGGAAACCTGCCTTCCCCACAGGAACCCAGCAGGTTGTGAAAGTGCTTCTTCAAGGGGAAAGAAAAGTGAGTGGACCCGTGCCCAACCAAACCCAGCTCAGGTGAGCTGATGTAGGAGGCATAGGCCTGCCTGCGCTTCTCGCTGGTGCTGCTCCCCACACGCACCCCCCAAGCCCACCTTCCACCTGCCAAATCCTCTCTGGATCCTTCCTGCCTCTCCTTAGCCTTGCCACCTCAGAGTGGATGGGTCCCTGTTCCTCCTTCCCCCAACCATCCACAAGAGGGCGCCTCCCAAAGCAAAAGTCAACCATAACCTACCCCTGCAGAGAAAATAATAACCATATAAACAACCATGGTAATAGCAGACCACCTGCTGTGGCCCCAGGCCCGAGGGGAATGCCAGCCCCACAGGGGAATGCCTTGCCTTTCCCCATGCCCCTCGTCCTGGTGCCTGCTCAACTGTCTGCTTACCCTGCTGAACTCCTCTCTGCCATCTTGTCCTCTGGAGTCTCTAGAAACAAGCTGCTCAGTCACATCCAGAGCCCTCTTAGGATGTCTAGTACTATGACAACATCATATACCCCACTTCCACATGCACCCCAATGGGCAAAGTTCAGGACACACAAAATCCTTCAATGGACACAGGTTTCCGTAGTCCTTGATACAAATACCACTATCCCACCCCATCCCACCTCCTGTGCAAAG